GAAGCCGAACGGCAAGATCCGGTGGATCCAGGACCTTCAGAAGGTCAACGCGGTGACAATACGAGACGTGGGCTCAGTGCCACACGCCGATTTGTTAGCAGAAGGCGCCGCAGGTAGGTCGATTTATTCGGTTTGCGATCTGTTCTCAGGATACGATGAGGTGCCGCTAGACCCTAGAGACAGACACCTCACGGCCATGCACACGCCTTTGGGACTAATACAGATGATGGTTGTCCCTATGGGGTGGACGAACGGGGTGGCTGTCTTTCAGAGAGCTATGGTAGCCGTCCTCAATGACTTCATCCCTGATAAGGTTGAAGTTTTTCAGGATGACTTCCCTATAAAAGGGTCAGTGGACAGGGATGAGACGGAGGTCGTACCAGGAGTCAGGAGATTCGTCGAGCAGCATCTAATAAATATTTTCGCAGTACTCGAGCAGCTGGATGATGCCAATTTGACAGTAAGCGGAACAAAGAGCCGGTGGACCGTCTCAACGATAAAGATCTTGGGGTTTATATGTGACTCGAGAGGGCGCCGAGCAGACCCGGCAAAGCTAGACAAACTTTTGAACTGGCCTTCACCGCTACATAGCCCAACCGAGATCCGGCAGTTTCTAGGAGTGGTCGGATACTGGCGGATATTCATACGAGGATATGCGGAGAAGGCTGAGCCCTTGAGGATACTTCTTCGAAAGACTGAGAAATACTACTGGGATTCTTCACAGGAACTCGCAATGCAAGAACTTAAAGATGAATTTAAGGAGGGAGGACGCGTGTTGGGAGTGCCATTCTTTGACGACGGAACCGAGAGACCCTTCATAGTATCCACGGATGCTGGACCATGTTCAGTAGGAGGTTTGCTGTCCCAGAAGGACGCAGGAGGGAAGGAGAGACCGTTAAGATTTGAGAGTATAACACTTAATACGGCTGAGCGTAACTACAGTCAGTTCAAGAAAGAGGTGTTAGCTGTTCTACGGTGTCTAGATACGTTCAGACACTATATTTATGGGCGACAGTTTATCTTGAGAGTAGACCCTACCGCAGTTGCTTCAGTCTTCCAGAAGGACTTTAGTTTGACAGACCCGACCATCGCCCGATGGCTGATACGAATTCGTCTATACGATTACACAGTGGAAAGGATATATGGCACTAAGAATGCAGTGGCAGATGGACTTTCGCAGATCCCTCTTGAAGCCGAGCGCCCGATAATAGCTGGGGCTCTGACGCTGGCGGAGCCAAGACGCGCTGGGAGATTTCTGGTTAACCTTTACGAGGGCAAGTACCGAGCGATCGGGCTGCACCTGATGGGTGAGGAGAGTCCAGATTCAGATATTCGGAAGCAAGCTGTCAAGTATTGCCTTAGAGCGGGCCACCTTTTCCGAAGACTGGTAGGGTCAGGAATGCCCTTACGAGTGGTCTGTGATTCTGAGGAGAGAAGGATGATAGTTGCAGAGCTTCACGACGGGGTAGTCGGAGGACATAGGGGAATTAAAGGAACCCACGAGAAGGTACGCAGGCTGTACTGGTGGGAAGGACAGTATAAGGACGTCGAGAGGTACTGTATGACATGCGAAGAATGYCAGRAGAGGGCTCATGTAAGGTACAAAGAACCACTTCATCCATCCTATCCGACCAGGYCAGGAGAGAAGGTACACATAGATCTAGTGAAAATGYCAAAAGGAGTAGGCRATATGAACTACGTCGTGAATATACGAGACGATTTCACYGGGTTCGTCGAYGGTAAGCCTATCAGGAGTAAGGTAGCAAGGGAGGTAAAGAACTTCGTCCTAGAATACTTATCTAGGTATGGTTGTATCGGCAAGATAGTGATGGACAGAGGATCGGAATTCCTGGCTGACGAATTTCAGGAAGTGTTCAAGAGAGCTGGGGCGAGAGTTTCGGTAGCCACCGCCTATCACCCACAGACGAACTCCCCAGTAGAGAGAGGACATCAGACTCTGATAGCGTCGCTGTCCAAGTGGTGCAAGGGTAAGGATAGTGATTGGCCACGATATTTTCGATATGCAATATGGGCGGACAACGTCACGGTCCGGGCTAGTACCGGATACCCACCCTACACTTTGTGGTTTGGGCGACATTGCCCGCTTCCCATAGAGTTTCACGTCGATAGCTGGATAACCGTCGACTGGGCGAAGGAGATGTCCAGGGAGGAACTTATAACTGCTCGGATAAGACAGATAGCCTATGGCTTGGAAGATAACCTCATGACAGCGGCAGATCGCCTGGCAGTGGAAAGAGACAAGGGTAAAGAGAGATGGGACAAGGATGTGAGAATAAGGAGAGAGAAGGTGAGTGTAGGAGATATGGTCCTTCTCTACGATGCCGCGCTTGAAAGGACTTGGACGGGAAAACTCGCCAACAGATGGATGGGGCCTTACAGAGTGGTTGAGGCACTTGACTGGGGAGCATATATGATAGCGGAGTTGGACGGAGCAAAGTGGAGAGACCCAATGACGGGAGCCAGGCTAAAGCTGTTTAGGCCCAGAACCCAGGCCGCTTTGTCGTTAGCCGGGAGAGGGAAGGCCAAGATGGAGGATGGAACTCCCCCGAGGCGATATRAGGCAGGAGAGAGTTCCAAGAAGAGGAAAAGAGGGAAAAAAGAAAGGTCAAAGGGTTGGCTTTAGGAAGAAAGAAGGGATGGTTATTCGTGCTTACGAGGGCCAAACGAAGAGTCCGCATCCGACAGA